AACTAGCAGTGTTATTACCCTAGACTAGAACATTACAGGGGTAGATATGCATTAGAAATAAGATGTCATAGGAAACTATCAGTGTTATTACTTTAGACTGGAACATTACAGCCATTAATAAACATGACAGTAAATTAGCAGTGTTATTACCCTAGATTGGAACATTACAACCATTAATCAACATAACAGTAAATGTGTGAAACATTATAGTCATTAGTCAACATGACATGTTAATGACGCTACGATTTTCAAAACGTTTTGTTTGTAATAAATTGTTTGGGTTTTTTTTTTTTATAAAGTTGGGCTGTGCTTGTTTTGGGTGTTATTTAAATTTTTTGTGTTGGGCTTCTTTTAAGTTGATCAATGACAGTCACGTAATTTATAGGAACTTCAACACCAATTTCTTATGTAGTAAATGAGTTTTGGGTGTGTTCTAAAATGCATTCCATATAGGTTTTTTTAAAATAATTTCAGCCTCTCTTTTGGGTATATTAGTGAAGCTCCCAAACAAGAAAAGTACAGTTTTTTTTTTTAAAACTTTTATTTAAATTTCTGGAATCTTCTTTCCAATTATTTATGGACCCCAACTCCCTCTGTGCTTATCAGCCTTTATATAACCCAGTATACTCTCTCATATCACCACCACAATAAACGAGAGAGAGAGAGAGAGAGAGAGAGAGAGAGAGGGAGAGGATGAGGAATGCAAGTGAGTTTGAGGATACAGAAAGGTGGATTTCATCTTCGGAGCTGCCTCAGCTGTGTTTAAATCACGTGTCATTTGTTTGCAAGTCAGTAAGCAAGTCTGTGAGGTTTTATGAGCAAGTATTGGGTTTTGTGCTCATTAAACGCCCTTCTTCCTTCAAATTTGAGGGAGCTTGGTACGCCGCCCTTACCCTTATCCCACTAATTAACCTCTTCTATTTCAAAAACACGCACACAGCCTTTCGCTCACCCCTCATTATAATCTTTTTTTTTATATTTTTTTTTTATATTTTTTCTTATTTCTTATTTCCATGTGTGGAGCTTTTGCTCAGCTTATTCTTTTCCTAATTACTATTTCATAATTAATTATCTAAGATTATTGCTAATTGAATCATCATCATATCTCAGGTTGTTCAACTATGGAATTGGTATTCATCTGCTAGAGTCAGACAAAAATATCCCAGAAAAGAAAGGCAAAATCAACCCAAAGGACAACCACATTTCATTCCAGTGCTCAGATATGGGGATGGTTATTCAGAAGCTGGAGGAGATGAGGATAGAGTATGTGACAGCCAAGGTGGAAGAAGGTGGTGTTATTGTGGACCAGCTCTTCTTTCATGATCCAGACGGCTACATGGTTGAAATTTGCAATTGTCAAAATCTCCCAGTTCTTCCAATCTCCTCATGCCCTATCAAGCTTATGACCAACACCAACGCAAACCATACATCATCATCATCATCATCATCATCATCATCATCATCATCTTTTTATGGTAGGTCTGCCTCTCTATTATATGTTCTTGATCTAGTGCTAGGATGCTATATGATTTTTGGTCTTCGTAATTTGGGTGAAGTTCTACTTTGGTGCCTGGATTTTAAGTTTCTTTGATTTATTAATCCTCCTATAGTTTACTAATTGTTATCATCCAAACACAATGACCTACTTACAAGGGGTTTGTAGCTCCAGTAGTTTAATCATGCCCCCGAAGTCCTAGATTTGATTCCCCTTCCGAAGTCCTAGATTTGATTCCCCTTCCCCACTTGTATTTTAAATTGAAAACCCTTGTACATAATCTCATGACTGTAATAAGAGTCTTTAAATCAACGGTTGAGGTCATTTTCATTTCATCATAAAAAAAGTGTTAAAATTAAGAAGAAAATGCAGGGGAACAAAGACAAGAGATGAGCTGTTCTGGAGAAGCTGCGACGCTGATGATGGAAGGCTTAGTGATGGACGTCATGAACATTTCCATGTGAGAGCATTGTTGCATTCTCAGGATTTTGTTTTGGTTTATTTGGGTGTATTTGTGGTGCTCTGTTAGGAGATTCATCTTTTGGCCCTCCTCTTTCTGCAAACGCCATCGATTGCTTCTCCTTATTCGGAGATGTCAACGCTGGCTGTGAAATTATTATTTTTTTAATCTTTTACTGCTGGGGTTTGCTTGTATATTAATGCTTTGTTTTGTTGTCGGCAATTATCCGGCCCTTGGCTTTGTTGGGCTTTGCCTCTTTCGGGCCTTGTACTGGAACTTTCTATTTAAATAAAGGCAAAATTGTAGCAATAATTCCTGAACTAAGGATCAGTTTGGCATTGTTGTGTTGTAAAAATAGTTGTTGTCAGATTTGATATGAAAGAAATTAGGGAGTTTCACTAAAACACCCAAAATGGAGGTTGAAATTATAAAAAAACCCAAGCACTATTTAAACATATAAACACACCCAAAACCCATAATTACACACACTCAAAACCCATTTATAAACACACCCAAAAAGTTGACTTTGGGGTTGATTTTGGGTGTGTTTCTATGTTTAAATAGTGCTTGGGTTTTTTTATAAATACATGTCTAGGATTGGGTTTATTTATAAATTTGTAAAGAAATTAGTTGTGAGAGAAAGCAGTTTGACGTTTGGTAAACTTTTTGTTAAAAGTGTTGTTTCTACAATAATCAGTTTATGAGTATTTGGTAAAGTGCTGTGAGCTGTGTATAATGACTAAAAATGGCATTATGTTAAAAGCTTCAACCCAAGACTAATTTTCTTCCCTTTTAGACCAAACTTTACTTTTCGTCCTTCATATTGTTAAATTGTTACGGTGATGTTTCAATTAGATCTCATGTTGCATTATTGGTCTTTTCATCAACTTTTAATTAAATTTTCTATCAAAATTAAGGGCAAATTGGGAATTTCATAATTCTCTCTCTCTCTCTCTCTCTCTCTCTCTCGACGTCTTCTTCTTCCCCCATTCCCCCATGACTACCAACCACCTGCAAGCTCCAACCTCAAACCTATCCCACAGCCACCCTCTCCTAAAATAAAATAAAATTATAATGTCATGTATACATTGCCAAGAAAATCGCACTATCAGGCAGTTGGATGTGCGATAGAGTCATCAATTGACAAGAAATTATATGTTCCATCAAGATCCATGGAGTTCAAGGAAGAATTAATTGAATTCCTTGATGTCTCTGAAGTACCATCTCTTGCTGCTCCAGCATCTCTTTCGATTGAGATTGCATCTTGGATTTCCTTGAGAATTTCTAAGATTGATGGCCTCATGAATCCATGTGCTTGAACACACATTAAGGCTTTCTCTGCTATCTTCCACATTGACTGGATGTCATATTCACCGTGCAGTGAAGGTTGATGGGTATCTAGGTGGGCCGCTTGCATTGTCTGTCTCCTTAGTGGGAGGATGGATCGCCTTCCATCACCTTTTGGGTTTTTGGCTGCACTGAAAATCGCTCCTCATATAGGTTTCAATTTCATGTACTATTTTGTCATTTGTTCTTGCGTTCTGTTGGCTCCTCGTGGCTTTAGCCTTCTGTTTGTATCTCTATTCCCTGTTTTGGGGTTTTATGAATACAACATGAATTTCAGACCAAAAATAGCTAAGTCATGCTTGGCTGATGAATAAATAGAGAGGCCATTCTTTTTTGTCAGCAAAGAAATTTGGGGCTGGGAAGAAATTTGGGTGTGTGAAGAAATTGGTGGGGAGGAGAAGAAATATGGTTGAGTGACTAGTTGAGTGAATTTTGAAGTCTAGTGGTTCAAATTTTACAAAAATGGTGCGGTTAGGTTGAGTGAACTTTGAAATCGGGGCTGCATAGATAGATAGATAGATATATATATATATATATATATATATAGAGAGAGAGAGAGAGAGAGATTTTATTTAATTTTTTAAATTTTGTGTGAAAAGACATTTTTGCCCAAGTCAAGTAGGATTTGTTATTGTCATGATGTCATCATTTTTAACGAAAAGATTGACTGAGATGAGGGAAATGACGATTTCTGAAAGTGAAGGCATAATTAAAGTACTACCGTAACAATTTAACAATACGATGGACGAAAAGTAAAGTTTGGTCTTAGTCCAAGGACCATTGCTACAATTTTACCTTCAATAAATATTCAATTACAACCTAAATGCTAAAATTAGACAAGCCCTAGCAGTAGTACTAGCTGGACCCAAACAAAACAAAAACAAAAACAAAAACTCTACCTTATGTCATAATAATGTTCATTTATCATTTGTGGTTGGTTGAGGAGGTTCCCAGCAAGACGATAGAAACATGTCGTGCAATTAAAACACGTTTTCCAGTAGTTTTGACTTGTCATGATTCATCAGATAAATTATAATGAAAGAAGAAGTCCCACTTGTTGAGTAGTACTTAAACCAATTTGCGTTGCCCTCCTCTCTCTATTATCTCTTCTTATGTCGCCTATCAAGGGAGGAGAGAGAGAGAGATTTATCATCGTGTTATTGCCTTCTTTTTATCTCTCTTCCTATGTCACCTGTTAAATGAGAAGAGAGATAGAGAGAATGGTGAGTGACAGGAGGCCTATACTTTGCTTTTGTTTTTCGTATTTTTTTTTCTTTTTGATTCGGATGTTGATATGCTACATACTAATAATAGCCTGTTTATCACTTGCATCCATCCTTTCAAATTTAATTATAGAAAATGAATTGAAGAAAATTCCTTTAAAAAAAGAAAAAAACAAGTTCCTTTGTTCTTTTTATTAAGCCTAAAATCTAGGCCCACCATCTCCTTTTGGGGAATTACCTTTTTCTTTATTAATATAATTGGAAGAAGTGAGAATTGAACACATTCATGATCTACCATACAAGGGCAGAGCTAATGCGGTTTTTGAACTGGCATGAATCTCAGATATCCATATGATTAAACCACACACAATGGATTATCAAAACTTACAAAAAATGTATCGTCCAAATAAATACGAAGGATTTGAACTGACATGAACTATCTCTTGCTGTATTTAAAAGGAGGTAGGAAAACAGGTTATCCAAGAACATAAACATCATTTTTACATAAATTTTGTAATGAATCGAATTCTCACTTTCGGCGTCAAACTTAATTGAATTTACAAAATCCTAATTTAATCAAATGTCACATGTCAGAAGGATCTTACAAAGTAATTCAACCTCGGGGTTCACAGGAATTTCTCCATAAAACATATTTTCCATCACAATAAGAATATACTCATTTTTAAACAAGAAATATTTAGAATTGTACAACATGAATGCCCATCATCCAGCCAACTAACTTCATATTCTGATTTAAGTCACCATTCGCCCATTGATACAACTACCTTTTCAGGTGGGAAGGGATGTCATCCTCTTCAGCAAGAACTGGCACTTTCCCGGAATCATGACCGAATCCGCTTCCCCAATGAATACAAAATATTTCTCAGTATGTACTGGTAATATTAGTGAGGTTGGGGAGGGGAAAGAAGGGCAACTCCTGATTACTGCAGATGTCAAGCGTAGACCAGTTTAACACTCCTTTGTTAAATTAGGTTCATTCACTTACGGAGATGACCACAAAAACGTCATCATGGGACCATTTTCTTCGTTCTGACTTCAGTGATGGGTTAATTATGGCCCGCTCTGTGTTTGCAAGCCGATATCCAATCACGATTTCCTGCCTTTGACGACCCCTAAGCATTATATCATAAAAGCAGAGTTCTTCCTGGTCATATAAATAGAGTTCTGCTGGTTTTATGCACATCTCATTCCCCTGTCCAAGCACAAAGAACCCGAAGCTTTAGTCTTTTAGTTTTTAATTTCAATCACTAATTAAAATAGAAACATATCCGAAAATATTAATAACTATCAGAATTTTAGAGTAAATACTCTGGAAAAACACCTTTGAGAAGTTTCAAGAAAATATGTGTGTTGTGGGATCCTTCTTTTAAGAAAAGAAAGGACCAGTATCGTGGTCTATCCTGCAATGTGATTCATCCGAACTGTATACTTCTAAGGTCCCGTTCATGGACACAAACCCAGCCAAATTATATTTGATAACTTCTTTCTATTCAAATCCTATTTGCTTCATCTATCCCACATAGAATATCTACAATCTTTCCTACATAAATTATAATTATATTTTTTGGAACTGTTATTGGCACTCCAAAATAGTCATCCTACAGTCCTCCAAGTGCAATTTCTCCCTTGTGTTTTTAGAATAAAGGAGTGCGTGATGACTCTTTTGGATTGCCAAAACAGCTCCTTACTTTGTAATGTAATTATAAAACATTCATCACACATTTATAATAACATAAAACAGAGTATGAAGAATACCTGTTCAGCAAATAGCTCCTCAAGGACACGATTGATTTGCTTGTCTTCAGCCACCATTGCCAGCGCCATACTAACCAGTTCATTTGATAGCACATAATCACTGATTCTAGACACCGAGACCAAGTTTCTAGTCCTAGAATCCAGAATTTCACTAATTATTATTGATTTGTCTGAAGCTTGCTGCATTTCACGGATCCAAGAGCTGTGTGAAAATGCAGACAACCGTAAAGAAGTTGGCTTTGTATCTTTGTCAGGGAGACGCTTTGACTGCAATCCAAAAGTGAAGAAGTAGCTTATATTAGTAGTCATTATTGAGTTGCAACATCTTCAATGCCAAATTTACATAATCCAACTTCCACATAATCATACTTAAAATATAAAGCAAATCCAATCCCTAAACAGAAAAAAGCCATGATCTGAAATTCTATGCACCAAAATCATAACCAAAACATGAAATTTTAAAATATTAACCATAATGGCAAATCAGATGCACCAGATTCATAACCCAAGTACAGCGAATACTTTGATTTTTCCTATAAGCAAAAGAAAGGAGATACATATAATATCTGAAATCTCAAATCAAAGCTTGGCAACCACATTTAATTGAGCGTTGAGTCTGAGGAAGTCAGGAAATGTTAAAATAAAACAATCAGCACTCAGATGGATCAGGCCAAAAAATAGAACTCAGATTATTCTTTTAGAAATCCAGCATTTCTGGTTTCGTTTTGATGATGAAAGCTCCGGAATGAAGGTTAAGATTCTTGTTGGGTACACGTTTGGGAAGGAGCATCTAGAGCAGAGGTACTGCGAGTTTGTGGGGCTTCATTCTTTTTCATTTGTTCAGGTGCTCAATGAGTGGTTCGGTTAAAATTAAAGATCTGCCATTAGAGAGAGCTCCAAAGCTATACCTCCAGGTTTAGAGAGGGAGACATAGAGAGAAGAAAAAAGAGGAAGATGGGAAAATGGTTTGTGCGAGACACAGGTCCCAGCCCAACAAAATGTTAGCCACATTGGGGCCACATCAGCAATACAAGGGCCAAAGTGACAGCAGTTGACGAATGGGGCATTTTAAAATACTGGGACAAGTTAAGGCATAAAATGAGGCATAAAGAGAGGTGTAATAGTTCAGAAGGAATAGGTGTAATTAAGCCTAAGAAAACCCTTGACCATCCTAAAATCAATAAGCTTCATGAGGATTAATCTGATATGTTACTGCCCTCAGAGATAAACAAAGAAACAAGCAAGTGGATAAGGAATCCACAAGAGCAAAACAAAAGTAAACAGCAACCTCAACACCAAAACAAACGAAAGAAAAGAGAACAAAAGAAAACAGCATTTATCTCAAATAACAAGAATGTCCCAAAGTATTAGATTACTAGGAATGACAGGTTTACAAAATGGATTAAAACCTTGACAAAATAATTCAGATCAATAGGGAGGAATTTCTGAAGAATGAAGATGCAAGAGTTAATTTAACTGGTGGTGATGGATAATCAATTTTTGAAGAGTCATTAGGACCAGAGCTGATTCAGTCTATGCCTGATTGTCTGAACTTTCCCTTACATATGCATACATGCATGTATGTACATCAGTGATGACAGATTTTTTTATCAGCGCTCTTACACGCCTATGGCAGGATGCAGCAATTGAAGTTACCTGTATATCTCGTATAAGGAGAAGAGTGGCAAGGGATCTTGAGTCAGAATGAACAACAGAGTCCTCTAGTGATTCATCTGCAAGAATTAATATCTGTCCACTTAGAGTTAGTAACAAGTTGAAGAGTAGAGTCTACACAAGAAAGTTTCAAAGCGACTCATTTTGTCCAAGCAAAATAGAATTCTATTGAATTTCTAAAGTAGCTCTTTGGGCTACTATTACAGCATAATTTGATGACCTTTCTTTTTCTAATATTGAATTAGCTTGGAGGGAAGCTGTGTCTTCACTATGGTCAAGAATCAGATACTCTGTATTGTTTCTTTCAGGTGGATTTCTGGTCCAGCCCACCCTTTGTACAGATTTATTATTCTTAATAAAATTTATGTTTCTTCTGAAAAATTATGTTGACTCAAATAAGTTGGCATTGTGGCTTAGGGGAAAGAAGTTTTCTAGTGAAGTCCTTCCTATTAGATCACTTGGTTTCAAGGGATAAGAAGTACGTTCCCCAATAAATTTAGATTTAGCAGTTATGCACCAGCAGAAAACATTCTGAAGGTCAGGGCCAAATTCTGAAATATGAGATGTGGTGGTATCTCATTTTCTTTCTTCTTTTTTTCATCGGAAATATAAACTTTGATTACAGAAAGGAAAAAATACATACAAGATGAGAGAGAGAGAGAGAGAGAGAGAGAGAGAGAGAGAGAGAGAGAGAGAGAGAGAGAGAGAGAGAGAGAGAGAATCAAACTTACAGAATCAAAAGTCTCCAGAGGAAGACTCTCTAAATGCCGTTTGATCACAGCATTTCCTTCTTTGTGGACAAGCTTTATGTTCTCCAATCTAGAAACATCCAGTCCACCATCTGTAAGTTTCCTATCTCTTTCTATTACAGGAACTTCATTGAACATCCAAAGTTCTGAACCTGGAGGCAAGAATGCCTCTAGAACCTGAAAAGCAGAATTCAGCAACAAATCAAGTTGGAGCTAAAACTTGAATTATGCAGAGATTCCAAAAGTACTAGTTTATTAGTGACCCCTTCTTAATTAGGAGGTGGGAAAGAAGAAACCACGAAGCCGCCCCCCCCCCCCCCCCCCCCCGCCCCATACCGAAAAGAAATAGCCAACAAAAGATTAAGTGAGAGACAAAACCATTCCTATAGTCCAAAAGTCCCAGACAGCCCAACCCAAAGTGAGAAAAGGTTAATAATAAGAGGCAGGAAAGAGAAAAATGAGAGAGAGAGAGAGAGAGAGAGAGAGAGAGGAGTGATTGTGATGTAGAACAGTCCGTAGGTTTAGAGTAAACACTTGAGCAGTAGAACAGAGAAGAAAAAAGGGATCGAGGAGAAGAATTAGAGATCGAAGAGACGAAGGGAAAGGGAAGGAATCAGAGAGTTTAAAGTAAGGAAATTTATCATTAATCAAGTCTGCCTTCAAAGATTACAAACAACTCTATTTATAGAGGCAAAACCCTTTTTAGTCTAGGAAAAGGAAAAGTAAACTTTAAAAAATAGGAAAGTAAATTAACTAATAAGAGATCCTTTAACAAGAAGGAATCTTTAAGAATTAGGAAAACTAATAATATGCATTCTGCATCAGATTGTTTTAGTCAGCATTGTCCGATTCAGCTAAGATTTCAACTCTGCCACTAATTGTTCCCCGGATAAAGTAGAACCATACACTGAATCCACAGAAACACCACAATTTTGGTGGAAGCACCATATTTTTTAAGGAAACTGTTCTAAATGGCACCTTTTCAACTGAAACTTTGAGGTATCAAGATTCGACATAGGTTTTGTGTCAGTCTTCTTGTAAATGAAATTTTTTGCATGTTTCAAGTAAAATGAAAAAAAAAAATGTTCCCTTTGTATGCCGAACGCCAATGAATGCAGTTAATTTCTATTCCCCATGGATATTGCTGATTACTATGCTATTTTTGTTGACTAGTACTGTTGCTTTACACTTTTTTTTCCAGAAAAGATAATGTTTATGAGACAATATTAACTGAGTTACCATAATCATATCGTCTATGTCACGACGCCAGCCACAGAACAATATCTTCTCGGGGTATTTGGGAGGTTCAACTGTCTTTGGACAAGAGCCTGCGCATACCTGCACAAAGGACACAACATGAGCTCAGGCATGTCAAATGTCATCATTCCTAATTTTCTTATACATATTCAGGCAAATATAATAATGGCATCCAAGGCATCCGGTAAACTTAGCAGATAATTTTACATTAATTTTCAGAAAGCTATGCGGGTCTGACGACAAAAGAAAAGGAAAAAGGAAAACGAGAAAACAGTGAATGTGTATGGACCTAGTTGACCATTTGCTTTCCTGTTAAACAGCAATCCATTGGTTGTGCTTCTAAACCAGCAAATTTATACCTAGTAACCATGCCAGGTGCATGTCATATAGGTGAACCCAAAAACCATACAAATTGGAGGGTGGGGGGAGAGTGACAGAGAGACAGAGCAAAGAAAGATAACCTAGTTTGATTGTTAATCCTTAAAAATTTCTTGTTCAGTTGTTAATCCTGTATAATGGGGATTCATCAACTAAGAATCAAAAATATTTTCTACAAATGAGTGAGTTGCTTAATGTAACTGCTGGGGTCTTCATACTTCACTATTAAATCTGAGAATGATATCATTATCAGCATAATAGTAGCAGTGTAGCACAAAATATAGTTTTGAAACTTTCCAATTTTTACAGTATATTGTTGGTACATAAAGAAAATATTGATAACCTCTGGACAGGGGCATGGAGCATAAGTGTCATCATCTTCTGCTATAACCAGAACCTCATCCCCATCTTTCAGAACATAATTATCATCTGGATTTAAGATTATCTTCCCACCATCTGCAGCAACCTTAATTCCACAAGGAATTGCATCAGGAAATGAAATAAGCACATTTTCAAAACGAAGACCATCCAATTGAGGCCACCTTTTGATGTAAAACTCAGCATTCTCAAACCCCAATATGTCCTCCCATATCTGACCAAAGAAAATTAATAAATTAGTGAAAAAAATAATTTATTGAAAAATATAAAGCATATATGGTTTTTCGGATATGCAAAAGAGATAATATAGAATCCCAAGGTTTAAATAATGTAAGAGAGATATTGTCTATGTTCTCATGAATCCTACTTGAGACATTTGATGGATAACCCTTCTCTTTCTCCTGTCATCCCCTCAAATGCATTTTGGAGGACAAAAGTACCTCCGAAGGTTTGGGTGTTAGCACAGATGGTCACTCATGTTAGGGTTACAGTTCAAGAAATAAAAATTCCTCATTGTCTTCTTCCTTAATGGTATGTGATGTGCAAAGATGGAGCAGAAAGCGTGAACCATTTGTTTCTGCACTCCAATTGCCTTATCCTTTGGATTGGTCTGCCATTTTAGACTGTGTGGGTTGTTTGCTTTGGTTTGGTTTGGGGTCTTGCTGTTTTTGGTTTCATCTTTACGTGATTCTGATGAATCCCTCTCCATCATGTTTTGTACTTCTCTCAACTCTTCAAAATATTTCTTGCTGTTCTCAACAAAGAGTGATTTTCAGCCATACAATTGGAATGATCAGTAACTGTAAACTTAATAATTGAGAATGTTTCCTAAAATGCTCATTAAATGGCATTACTTTTTCCTTGGGTTTTCCCCTTTCCACATAGGTTTCACTCTTCAATATGTGGCAAGAATCGACTGGTTCTGCACAAATAATGTTTCCTATTTGGAGTAGAACCGTTGTGGTAAACTATATCAATTCCTTGTAGAAAGCTACTCCTACCCCTAATGTAACTAGGCTCTTACCAAATATATACATAATTCATTAAAATAATGAAGCAATATTTAACAACTGTAACAATATTAAATAAAACAAAATAAAAACTATTTAGGTATACAAGTGTGAGCCTCGGGCTAGCTATTGGGCCATGCTGATTCATGGCCTAAAACAGGCTGGCACACTGTTCCCTGGGCCATTTTCGAGCCCTACTCAGCCCAGTGAACCTTGTCTCACCAGACAAATATATACTTAAATGGAATTAAAATATTATCAGAACTCAGGAAAACAAACTTAATCACAGAAGGAAAGAACTAGTCTTATATGACTTGCACAAGTTTTAAGAAGTGTAATTAAAGCTTAGCTCCCTAGAGTTACCTGTGCAAGACCAGGCTGCAGAGCACACTGTATCATCAGCCTTCCAATCACATCATGTGCTACAACTGTTTCTATGAGTTCTCCTCCAACAAGCTTCACCAGAGGCTCATTGTCAAGGTCACTCATCTCTACAACAATATGACCCCTCAAACCCTCTTTCACCCCAGTTAGGCTGAGCACAACCCTCAAAGCACGTGCATCACTCTGGAAACATAATACAACCAATGTAACTAAAGTTTGATGCGCAATAATGTAAACCTTTGAGAAACGTAAGAGGACATCTGAAATAAGAAATAACCTGATCTGCATTTTCATCAGATGCCAATACAATGATAGCACGTGCCTTTGAAACTGAGACCTGCAAATGACAAAACAAAACCCAATCTGAATCAGCAACCATGAGAGAGAGAGAGAGAGAGAGAGAGAGAGAGAGAGAGAGAGAGAGAGAGAAGGAGAAACAATAACATTATGAAAAGAGGATGAAGCACCTATAACTACCTTGAAAAATATATGTTCCAATCAAAATAATACTACCAGCAGTTGAGAAAATGAAATACATAGTATTGAACCCTTCTACGAACAAAACTACAATCATTAGTACTAGTAGTATATAAGAGGAATATCAAAGACACCCAACGTACCTTCTTCAGGTCAGCGAGTATAAGAGGGCTGCCACTTCTGCATATAACAGAGGTCCCCATGAAGTCAAATTCAAGCTTTGCTATATCCAGCTCCATTTCCTCCTTGTCTCTTTCAGCAAGTACAACAACAACACCACCACCAACACTCTTGTTTGCTATTGCTAGCTGCTTTAGAAGTGAACCCTGAAGCAGCAAAAAAACGAAAATTTTAATTCCCCTTCTTTCTTTCCTGTTTGACTCCTTAACTATAACGCTCACACAGAGAACTTCTTTTGTAAGATATAATGGCGCTTAGTTTCATAGACGATAAGGAAAGAGAGGTTTAGGGGCCTTTAAGGAACGTTTTTCAATTGCAAGAGAAACATGAACTTACAAGAATCTATCTGTGAAACCAGTTAAAATGAATACAGAAGAAGTGAAACAACAAAGGACTTAAAATGAGTCCCTAGAGACAATTATAATTACCCATACAGCACTAACTGCCAAAAGTACAAATCTAAAAGCATATTCAAGAAGCAAGATGGACATATCACTTAAAGACTAATAGTCATGCAAACACCTAAGTTCCCTATTCTTTTTGGTATGTGTTAACAACTAAGTTCATGTTTCACATCATACAGTAAATGCCCAACAATACAATTTTAAAGAAATTCAAGTCGGATGGCATCCCAGAATTTGTGAATCACATCCCAAATCTAAAACAAAATTAGAGATCCAAAGAAGAAAAAAGTTTAAAGGGAAAGCAAGATTGAGATATCACTTGAATATAAACCATGAATTTTACATAGAGGGTGTATCCAATTTAAAAATGGTTGAGAGTTTACCAGTTTGTCACTCCATCCAAGAATTAGGATGTGGTTCATTTCAATGACTTCACTCTTCCCTTTCCGCAGTGAATCAACCTTCTCTGATATAGCATCAGAAACAAGCCCAAGCATCATTGCAAATATTAGCATGCCTCCTGAACTTATAGAGACAGAAACTATCCTTGGCCCAAGGCCTTCTGTGTCAGCATGGTTTCCAGAATCAGCAACAAAAGTCCATGAGAGCCAAAGAGCTTCAGCAAAGCTATTTTTATTGACTGCATACAATGCCAATCCACCAAACACTATAAGAAATATTGTAGCAAACAGAAGCGCAAGCAGTTTCGCATATGGATAGACAGAGAAACACACATCCACCATATATGCAATCCTCTTCTTTATGGGAACCTCCTCATTGTTACTCTTCAACCTTTTTGAGAGATTCCTTATTTGGGAAAGATAATCAAGATGTTTGTACAATACAAATGGCATAGTAAGAATAATGACCACAGCATACAAAGCAACAGTTCTTCTTTCAGCATTAGCAAAATGGAAAAAAAGGGGAGTCTTCTCAGCCAGAAAAAGACTAAAGCTGCTATTTGAATCGATATCTTTTTCGGTACACCATTCCTGAAAGCAGCGTGATTGATTATTAGGGAGACTACTAAAGAGAATGTCAAACCAAGAACCGAAATAGGGTTGAAGCCATGAAACATACCTCAAGTTGTGCAACTCTGTGCCGCAGATAAAATACATAAGTTACAGATAATACACAAGTGAAAGTGAGCTGCAACAGAAGAAGTTTATACAAAATTATTAAACTCGTAATTTCAACAATACAAAAGTACAACATCAGAAGCAATATCTGGTTGATATAGATTTTGCACAAAGAAAGGCAAAGGAGGTGCTGATAAATTAACATAATTTACTATTTATTTCTTAAAAATCCAGAAAATTCCCGTAATCAGTGAGCAGCTAAACAACTAAAGAATAAGACAATGGTAGTACATCTTATTATATGACGTAGACATAGGCACATCACTTCTCCTCATGGTATTTAGCATTTTCGGTAACTTTAATACAGAAACAGCTTCTATCCATAAACAGCAGATGAAACCAACATACAACTGCAGCATAAATGGGAACAGTGTGATTGCAAGGAGTAAAGTTTCTTTTTTTTCTCTCTCCTTTTTGTTGGAAGGACTTGAGTCATAAATAAATTAGCATTATGTTATTTTAAGTAGTTCATTCAACCGATTGAAAACCTTATACATACGTAAAATTCAACATAAATTAGTATAGAATTGTGGATATGCATTTTTTTTCCCATGAAAAAAAAAAGAGCTTTTACCTATAAATAGGTATATGAGAACATAAAAAAACGTTGTTTTTAAAAGCATTTGTTTCCTAGAATCTAGGGGAAGTTGAAAAACGGTATCGTAGAATTTACAAAAGCCTACATTCCTTTCAACAGAAATCAGAAAATCTAGTAGTTGAGCTCAGCTGAGTGAAGTTAGAGAGTACGAAAATTGATGCAAATTCTGAAAATGAATCAAATGGCTTACCACAACTAGTAACAAATAACGTTTAAGTTCCCCAGGCCGCCTCGAACTCGGCCGAGTCAACTCACTCGAAGAAGAAACCGGAGCTCCACTTGGCACCACCTTCAATTTCTTCCTCTCAGCCTCCGGCTTCGGCACCGACGCAGCAGGCGGAGAATGGGACGCGATCCGGTGCGACGCGTCGACAAGCTTACCATGCGCCGCAGCCGTACGCGAATCAGAGGAGGCGAGCTTCTTGCCGCGTTTGGAAGTGTTCTGTGGGACGACGAAGGAAGGGAAGACCCAGTCACGGTCGGAGAAGTCTCGGTGGTCCGCGGGCGCATTGGAGGCGCGGCGTTCGGGCGGCGGCCACTGGCGGGGGGCAACGGCGGGGGGGATGCGTCGGGCGGGCGGGAACCTGAGGGCCCGGAAAATTTGGGGTGTTGGGGGCTCTCGGCCTTGTTGGGCTTCGAGGGCTCTTCGTTGCCATCAAGCATTTTTTTCGGATTTTATTTCTCACAGAGAGAGGGAGAGAGACATGTTGAGCTTCGAAGTTGCAGTGACGGAATTGATATGGTTTCTATATTTTACTGGTGTTTAAGGTGGGCCCAGAAACAAAAAAGAAAGATAAAATGGGTTGGGGTACGGTTTTTTATGCTTCTTTCTGGTGACGGTGGTAACTATTTCTGTCTAGGGGAGTTCAAAATGGGCGACGCTCGAGTCACTTGGCACACATGTTCTTTCCTCCTCCTTCCCCGACTCTTCTCTTCTCCTCCTGTACCTCTCTCACTCGTCGCCTGAATATTTCCATTCGGATTTCCAGAATCCGCGTTTAATTTTTTCTTTATCATCAGCTGACAGCTGTATTGCAATTTACATTTTTCTTTTTCTTTTCTTGTAATCATATTTAATTGTTCAATTTAATAATTAATTACTGCTAGTATCGTGGAAGGAAATTGGAGACTCCATTATTATAGCAAAGCTCCTGTATTTTGTTTCCAGTTTGAAATCCATATGCAACTTCTTTATAGTATTCGATTAGCAATTACATATTTACTTGATTTACGTTGGTGGTTCCTAATAAGAACAAGAAAATGGGAAGTTTTTTTTTTATGAACTAATCTGCATTTAAATTTCATTGATCAATCTAATCATACTAAGATCACAAAAAGCTTAACCTCAATAAGATCAACCATGCAGGACCCTGTAATCAAAATTTAAACTGAGGGAGAGAGAAATAAAGAGTGAGAGATGGAGAGAGAAGAGAGAAGGGTCGGGGGAGGAGGAGAGGGAAATCAATTTTTTATTTTATAATTTTTATATTTATATTTTTTTTTTTTTTAAAGGGAAAGAAGGAAAAAGAGGGAGAGAATCGGGCTGTTGGCTCTTTTCTGAAATTTTTTAAAAAATTTCATATAAAATTTAACTAAGGTTTAACTATGGTAAGCAAAAATGCCAATTATTCACATTATGGTATTCCCGACCGGTATAGCCGATCGGCTATACTTTTCGAAATTCCACCTACAGAGTATCGCCGGGCGGCTATACGTTAAAAATTTTAACTACAGAGTATAGCCGAACGGCTAACCCTTTGAAAATTCTATTTACATATTATAGCCGGTCGGCTATACTTTTAATAAATTCTACTTATAGCATATAGCCCCTCGGCGATACTTTTCAAATATTCTGTCTCCACGGTATAGCCGTTCGGCTAGATGTTTGAAAAATCTATTTACAGCGTATAGCCGGTCGGCTATATGTTTGAAATATTCTATATCTTAAAGATATTTAATTACTTTCATTAGTTATTATGTTATAATTATTGTTTCAACAGTATAGCCGCACGGCGATACTCTCTTAATATCATAATGTATTTTCTTTTTTAATTACTTTAATTACTAGTTATGTTTTAATTATTATTTACCTAGTGAATAATTAGTATTTAAATATTTTATTAAAGAAAAAAAATTAATAAATATTTTTGTAAAATATATATATATATATATTGACTTGGAGATACTAAAAATAAACTTCTTCCGATGAAATTTTGTGGGGAGAAATCTAATCCAGCAAATATAAATCCATATTTTTATTGTTGATGCAATGTGGAAATATTTTAAAGCATATAATATTTGAAAAGTATACTGCGCGGCTATAACCCATAAATATAATTTTTTTTAAAGTATAGCCGCGCGGCTAGACTGTGAATAGAATATTTCAACAGTAGAGCTGCGCGGCGATACCCTATAAATATCATAATGTGAGATAACGAAAGGAGCATACTTATGTCCACCTTCAAATTACCAATATTTGACGCTCATTTGAACTCCTAGAGTTGTAGAACGTTGGTGGTTTGCAGTTTGAATGATTTCAATTTTTTGAGTTTATTTTGTTCTTCCCTCGTAGCAGGAAATTTGACACAAAATTATCTCAAATTTTTGTCGTCAGTCTCTGTTTGCCTCCTTCAGCATTGGAGTGCAGAAATGAACATTTTCAGTAAAGAAAGACCTTTGTAAGAGTTTCTGCAGCAATGAAGTTAGGTACACTGTTAACGCACAAAGATGAGTGGCTCCGAAAAATGTCAACAAAGAAATGCTGGGAGTTTTGCGGCATTGAGTTTTGGTACATTCAGGACCTATTGATGTGATAACGTTAGAGGCAAACTAATTCAGACAATTAACAGTACAAGGCTGCAAGGGTGCGGAACCAAAACTTATGGCAGGCAAGACTTGGCTAAATATCACAAGGACATTAAATAGAAGATGAAGAGGAAGAGGAACCAATGACAAATAAAATTCAAGAATCAGCTAGCACGGGTCATTTTTATTTTCGGCATTGCTTTCTTCATCTGACGAGCACGCTCTTTTGCTTCTTTCTTGCGAATACTCTCTGCGCTGAGCTTAGCCTCGGCCTCCTCCATCATCTTTTTCCTCTCTGCCTTCTTTCTTTGCAAGGCCTCTTGCCTAGCATTTTGGAGTTCCTTGTAAGCCTCTTGAGCAGCTTTTGATCTGATTGCTTCTGTTTTTGATCGAGCCTGCATTAGAACATTTCGAAATTAGAAAATTAGACCAAATGGCAATTTTTGTTCTAAACTTTGATTCCACAATATAACCGGAAGCCGACCAACCTGACTACTTAGTTTGTAGCGCCCAATCAAATCAATATAATAAGGTACCAGAGCCACCAAACGAGTCATATCCGCCATGTTACTGGCATCTGGTAGGGCAAACTTGAACAAAAGCATCTTCTTGTGTGTCCCTGGATGTTGATCTGAAAAATGCATGTAGATGAACCCCTTTCCAAATTTCTGAAAAGCTTTCTCACCAAAAACCTGCAAATACCAGATGTATCAAATATTTCTGCCGACTCTGTGATTGATCCAACAAATATTGTTTAAGTCTAGAATCAACACCACAATGTCTAAACAATTGAATGAATGGAAAGAAATGTAACAGCTAATCAAGAAACCACACATCAAAAGGTAAATGTTAGGGAATCAAGAAACAGAATGGACAACTCAGACGGAATTGGGACTTAAGAGGCACAAGTTATAGGACTAAGAAGCATAATAATGAACTTGGGTGTTCCGGTTAAATGGTTGAATAAGATTTTAAATTCCCCAGGAACCCGATCATGCAATACATTATATAGAAGTCAATCAGTGCACAAGAAAAACCTAATGATAAAAGGACCAAAAAAAATATGCAACACTCCTTTCTTCCCAATTGCATCTAGGTATGGGATTGAACAGGCTAATTAGGGCACCTACAGCGCCCTGCCCTGTAATCTTGCCGGATCAAGACTCAAATATAGATTCAAAGTGGATCCAGGTTAAATCTCCTAGAAATCAGGAAGACCAAATTGGGTCTTAGGCTAAACCTATGATAAGAGAGGGGATTGACTCATTAAAGGGGAAAATGACTGGGGCTTATGTTGTTCCTCGAGTATTATCTTCTTGTTTGATTTGAAACCTCTGAGAGAGAGAGAGAGAGAGAGAGAGAGAGAGAGAGAGAGAAAACTAAAACTAAAGCAAATTTTATTATGAGAGAAGAATAAATAAGGAACAGCACTTTTCCATGGCAATTATGATAGGGGAAAGGTGTTTTATCATTCTCACAGCCTCTCCTACAAAGGCCCATAAGGAATGCACCCCACATTACAAACAAAAGTTGCAGGTAATAACAAAGCATAATGTGACTAACAACCAAACAGAATTTCTCTAAGGCATATGAGAGTTTGTACATTACTTGCGCATCTCTCATCTGCCACTAGATTAAAAAGATTGATCCGATTTTGGAAACGCCAGCAGGTCACACTTATACAAGCACCCAGTATGTGCCCCCATTATATTGAAAGGTTGGCTGAGATACCATCTTTTAATCCAACACCGTGTGAGAGTAATGCAAAAGTAATACAACTTTCTCACCCGCATTACATAATTCTCAGCCGCCATAATTGACTCAACAAAACAAATTCCACCTTCATCGGTACTAATTACGATATCAAACCTTAAAGGAGAAATAATACCTATCCAGAGATTCTGCAATAGTTATGCATTCCCACACATAATGCATAAATTTAGTTAGCACACTTCTATTAAAAGTAGGCATCAACATGAGAGCAATTCTGAAACAGAGTTCATTCACTCATGGCCAGACTACACATTAAAGCCCGACAAACAGAGCAAAATGATCGAAAATCCTAAAACAATTTACAAAATCACTGACAAAGAAACCTGTAAATGTAATCAGATAAAGAGTATTCAATCATTGGCCTAATGAACTGGGCCAAAGGAATAAAATATTTGATTGGAATACTAATTCCAGTTATGGCTAGAATGCACCAATGATATAATGGAAATCAAACTCTTCTTATTTCATTTCACTAAAATGCACCATTAACAAATATATATATATACACACACACACACAAATATAACACTAACTACCACTAGTCAGAGACATTAACACTTAACCACTAACAACTGAGTTCATGAACTGAACAGTAGATCAGAATTAAGTACTCAACTAACCCACTACCACCCCATACATGCGAAATACTCAGGATAGTGGCCTATCATGGGCCTTCAATCCTATGGTTGGCCATCACATCGAACCCAAAAACAACTGTTATAATAAGCATAAGTTGTTTATGATTCTTCAGTTTTTCAGTTTTGCAGTTTATATGGTCTTCAGCATTATCATTGCAGTAAAACAGAATCTTATTATTACCTGTATATATGTGCAATACAGCCTACCCAATATATTCAAACACATAATCACTTGATCGAATGCAGTTCATACTATCAAGAAAACTAAACACTTGAAAGCACACTCATTGCAAGCAAGTAAGAGTGCAGAGCCCGAATTAAACAATAACCACTCAAACCAAATAACATCTGAATGCAACGATAAACCAGATTAATAAAAATAATAAAAAATAAAAACCATAACAAATTTGCCATGAAGAAGAAAATAAACCAACCTGATCAAGCACAGCCTCGGTGATCAAATCCCCAGCTACCTCCTTCGACTCTGAGA